AGCACCACCGCCCCGCGCCTTGGCGTGGGTCGGTAGTACACGATGCGGCGCCCAGCAGCTCTATCATGCGTCGCACCCGCAGTGGCCGAGCCGACCGCCGCTCGAACTGGCGCCGAGTGGCTCCCAGATCGAGCGCGGCAGGCTCAGTCGCACCGTCGCGGGGCGAACGCGAACCGAGCCGTCGCCGTTCGCCGCAGCCGCCAGCCGCCAGCCGTCAGCCGTACAGCCGTACAGCCGTCAGCCGTCAGCTCGCAGTCGCCGTCGCTGCCGCCGCCGCAGCAGCAGTGAGCGAGCTCCTGCGTCGTGTTGCCGACGCAGTGTGGACGCGCTCCGCCCAGCGGCGAGCGAGCGTGCTCGGAGTTGGGTCGGCGCGCGCGCGGGCGGACGGCGCCTGTAAACAGACAGCCTGCCCGCCCACTCGAGAGAGAGAGAGAGAGAGAGAGAGAGAGAGAGAGAGAGAGAGAGCGGTGCTGCCAATTTTCTTCTTCAAAAACCCGCGGCCGTCGGCCGACAACGCAACGCACAGCTCCCACCTCCACCGCGGCCGTCGGCCGCAACGCACAGCTCACAACCGTCGGCCGCAACGCACAGCTCACAACTCCCACAAACGCATGGGCCACAACAGCAAACTCGTCGCCTCAGCGGCGACGCTGCTCGCCGCGGCTGCAGCTGTGGCGGCAGGCGCGAGCCACCGCTACATCGCCGTCGCCGTTGCCGCTGCAGCCGCGGCGGCGGTGGCAGCAGCAGCTTCTTCCACTGCAGTTCACGCCGCAGCTCACGGCCGCTCGACGAGCACCGATGACGACGGCATGTCGCAGCTCTTGCGGATGGCGGAGAAGGCGCGGCAGCGGGCGCAGGAGCGGGTGCGACACCGCGACTCGGAGGTGCTAGGCATGACTCCAAAGCTGTGGCTCGAGGCGCTCGACGAGCGGCACAGGTACGGATCGCTGCTCTACCCGTACTGGCAGCGGTGGGAGCTCTCGCGGACCGAGCTTAACTTTTTCAAATGGTGCGCCGGACCTTTGTCGACACACTCTGCTCCCGATGCTCCCGACAATGGAACACTACCCCACTGGTTGCTCTCCGTTGTGCCAGGCTCGACCGCGGCCGCGGCTCGCTCATCGACCTGCCGCAGATGCCGCGCCGCTTCCTCGAGGAGGGCCGCGTGCTCTACTGCCACCGCAAGGAGCTCGAGCTGTTTGAGGCGCGCGTTGACCGAGCCGGCCGGCTGGTCTGGGGCGCAGACGGCCTCCCGGTCACGCTGCCCACGCCGTGGGAGCAGCCCGGCGGCACGGCGCGGCAGGGGGCGGTGCGAGCTCTCCTCGAGGAGGGGCTCTCCCTCTCGCGCGAGAGGGAGGCGCTGCTCGCCGGGCTGAGGGCACGCGCGGAGGAGGCGCTCTCGAGGGGCGAGGAGGCGCCCGCCGACGCCGCGGCCCTCCTCGCGCCGCTAGTCCGCGAGGGCCGCTCCCTTCGCGCGTGAGGCGCTGCCCCACGCCCTCCCAGCGCAGCCGTCGCGGGCCCCGCTGTAGGCCTGCTCCGGCAGCTGCGGGACCCGTACTTCCACGCCCGCCTCTCCGCGGCGGAGCACGGCGGCGACGACGACGACGACCGGCTGCACAAGTGGGAGGCGTTCCGGTGCACCCAAAGCACCGTGCTCCTCGCCGTCGGCGCGAGGGGCCGCGAGGAGAGCCGCGGGTGCTCGTATGCGGCGCGCACTTCGGCGGCGGCGGGGCAGGGCGGTAGGGCGCAGGGCGGCGCCGACTCGCGGGACAGCGGGGCGGCGCTGGACGGCATGGGCGCCGATGCGGCTTGCTACGCTCTGCCGACGGCGCTGCTGCCCGGCACGTCCTGGAGCGACATCGTGGCGGCCGTGGACCACGAGGAGGGGAGGGCGATGCACAAAGCCCCGCTGGCCACCGCCGACAAGCGGCTGCGCGGCAAGGGCACGCTCGGAATCTTCGTTGTCGACCACTTTGGGCGCATCTTTTGCGCCGACAAGGTGGCGCTTGCACTCGCCCGCCCACCCCCGCGCCCGCCCGCGCCCCGACACCAACCTCCACCCCCCTGTGCGATGCAGGTGAGGGGCGTGTGCCACCACTCGAGCCTCTCTCGCGGCCACGCCGTCAAGTTCGCCGGCTCGCTCCGGGTCGAGGCGGGCCGCGTCGCCGTCATCACGCCCCACTCGGGGCATTACGTGCCCTCGCAGCAGGACTACGACGACGTGCTCGCGGACTGGGCAGCGCGCGGCCTCGACTTGTCACAGACAGAGGTGAGGGGCCTGGTAAAAGAAAAGAATATCCTGGGCCGCACAGGCTCGCGCCAGACCGGTGCGGTGTGACCGCGCGGCGCGATACGCATATAGCATAGATACACCAGTGACCGCAGTGAGATTTCTCATGTCATCTCTTGTCCCAGGGTGCGCGCGCCAATGGCCCCGAGCTGCCGTGGTTTATAGATAGATGGGAATATCTGATTATAAAATCCAATCGTGCTCACTGCCGCGCGCTTTACTTGCGCCGCTCACTCGTCTCCGGGCAGCGCGTCCGGGGGCGGGACGCCAGCCTGTGCGCACAGCGACTCCAGCGCGGGGCCAAATGAGGCGTCCTCCGCCGAGAGGGCCGCGAGCCGCTCGAGGGTGGTGCGGTTGGCGACGAGCCGCTCGGACAGCGCCGCCTCGCGCTCTAGTGCGGTGGCGCCCTGCACGCCCGAGGCCGCCGCGCTCTCGCGGTGCGCGTCGAGCAGCGACGACAGCTCGCTGGCTACCCTCTGCAGCTCGCCGCGGCGCTCCTGTAGGGTGGCGCCGATCGAGCGCGACGCGTCGGCGAGCCGCTCGTAGTGCTGCCTCTGCGCGCCGCTCACGTCGGCGAGCTCGTCGAGCGTCACTCCCATCTGACCGATCTCCTCCTCCACCTCGGACTGCTGCACCTTGTGCGCGCGGCACCTGCAGCAGGCGGCGGGCGGAGGATGGGAGGGAGCAGTTGGGAGGGAGCAGTTGCCGTGATGCGCGATGGGGCGTGTCACGCGTGGCCCCTTTGAGCGACGAGCTCGCCTCCGCAGCCGCCCCCGCGCGTGCGGGCGGAGGCGCGGGTGGGAGGGGGTGGCGAAGGGCGCAGCGCAGAGTGGCGCCAGAGCTGCTACGGCGGGCTCTCTCGGCTGCTACAGCCGTCACCGCGCGAGCGCAGCGCGGTGCTGCTCCTCGAGCAGCGCGCGCTGCTCCGCGAGAGGCGTGCGCGGGCCTGCGGGCGCGAGCGCCGCCTTGTACGCAGCATTCTTGTCGACGAGATGGCGCAGCGCCTGCGGTGGTTTGGGTCGGGCCCTCGGTGTGGGGACCCGCTCCTCCCGCGCGCCCCCTGCCCCTCCCGCGTCTCGGCGCCTTGTCGAGCGAGACAACCTCGCGCTCCGCCGTTTGAATCTTGGCGTCGAGCTCGTCGCCCTGCCGCTGCAGCTCGTCTCGCTCCTGCGCCGCCTTGATGACGAGGTACGCCTGCCGAGAGACAGCCGAGATACAGCCGAGACACAGCCGAGACACGGCCGAGGTACAGCCTTGATGACGAGGTGCGCCTGCGACTGCGGCGCGCCGTCCTCGTCGGTCCCGAGCCTGCCGACAGGGAACGGGGCGGTCAGGTCCGCGCACACACACGGTGGCGCCAGCCTCGACGCAGCCGTGTGTGCGAGAGCCGGCGTGGACAGTCTGGCATCTATGGCGCCGGGCTTGCCCTCGAGGTTGGCGCTCTTGGCCGAGAGCCGGTCGACACGCAGCAGCCGCTCCGTCAGCGCCTGTGAGGGGGGCGGGCCGGTGCGGGAAGGTGCTCTCGAGCCAGCCGAGATCGAGCCGAGCCTGCGACCGGCGGCGCGCGCCTTCTTGGCGCGGGAGCGCTCGTCCTCCGCCGCCTTGAGCTGCGCGCGCAGCACGTCGGTGTGCACCTTGATCTCCTCCTGCCGCTCCGCCATCGAGAGCTGCAGCTGGCTCTTGCGGTTCTCGAGCCCGAAGACGCCGTCCGTCCGGCCGTGCAGCGCCTCG